CCTGTACAATGTCGTCCGCTGCTTCCAGTGGATGTGCCATTTTACGCCGCTAATGGGGGATCGTTGGGCATTATCGGTCAGATTAGGGCGTCTATTTGCATTGGGGATATCAAATTGTCGGGACCCGTTTTCGTTTCGTCCTCCCTGGCGGTTCCTTGTCTATTGGGCACAGATTTTTTGGCAAAAATGCCCATCAAAATTCTCATTGATCAGCGTTGCATTGAACTACCATCGGGTCGCCGTATTTCATTTTTGACGAACCCTACTGAAATTCGGACGGCGTGCGCTACGATACAAGCGTTAGCAACACAGACCGTGCACGTGCCCCCGGGTTCACAAATGTTAATTCCCCTCCGGTTGCGGAAACCAGGGGAGAGGGAGACCTCGGATCAAGGCACGCTTTTGGGTCCTTCTAATAGGGCTGTTGGAGGTCTCGATTTGTCGGTGGCTCACACTTTGGTTGGGGCTGACAGGGATCCGGTTGTCAGGGGTTTAAACGCTGGGTCGCGGCCGGCCGTCATTCAGCAGGGCACCGTGCTAGCTCACGCGGCGCAGGTCCCTGCGGAAGAGCGGCTGGTTGCGCAGGCTGGTCCGAGCCCCACGCAAAACGTTAATCCGAAGGAGGACCTCGAATGGGTCGATTCGCTGTGCGCGCGACACACAAATGCTGATGCTCTGTCGCGATTGTTGCCTTGTCACAAATGTGCGTGCTTATCGGGATCGGCGCGCTGTAGACCGCCAGTTACGGAAGGCGAGGGGGCATTGGTTGCGACCGCGGGCACACCAATTGGGGATGGTCCCGCTACCCCAGGGGGTCACGACTCGCTGCTCTCACTGTCGCTGATTGAGTGGGGCCGTCTCCAAATGGCGGACAGCTCTCTGCTAGCATTGCGCCGAAGGACGGGGGGTTCCGAAGGCGACCATGAACGAACTGGCTCCTACGTACTTAAGCAAGGCCTGTTAATGAGATGGGACAGTTTGTCCCGGCGGCACGCGATTGTGGTGCCTTCTGCTGTGAAGGGGAAAATTGTCTTGGCCGCACACGAACGCCTCTTGCATTTGGGAGTTAGCAAAACGCTTGCCCTGCTTCAGCGTGACTATTATTGGCCGGGAATGGGGGGTGACGTGGTGATTATTCTGAAGGGTTGTGTTGAGTGCGCCAGACGGAAACCACCGCCCGTGGCAGCTAATCCACCGCTGCAATCCATCCAGGTCTCGCGCACTAACGAGCTCGTTGCACTCGATATTCTGGGGCCTTTTCCGGTCACGCCTAGGGGTAATAAGTACCTGTTGGTGGGGGTCGAATATTTTACCCGGTGGCCTATGGCGTGGCCACTCGCCAACCAGTCGGCGGCGGCTGTGACGGACGCCTTTGTCCAGGGCTACGTCCTGGACAAGGGGGCTCCCGAACGCTTGCTGACTGACCAAGGGAAAAATTTTTCGAGTAAATTACTGCAAGAGGTGTGCGACCTGTTGGGTACCAAGAAGGTGCGTACCTCCCCGTACCACCCGCAGACGGACGGGATGGTGGAGAGGCTTAACAGGACATTGACTTCTATGTTGTGCCAGCAGGTGTGTGGGGCACATGTTGATTGGGACCTGCAGGTCCCTGGGGTCCTCGCCGCGTATAGAGTGGCCCCCCATGCAGCTACGGGATTTTCCCCGTTTTATCTGATGTACGGTCGGGAAGCCGACCCGCCCATGGAAACGCAGCTGGGTCTGCCCGCACCACGAACTAATTCGAAATTGGCAGAGCATATTAAATTCAATATTCATAAGCTGACAGAGGCAAGGGAGGCCGCACGGCTTAATTCATGGGCTCGCCAAATTGCAAACGAGCGGTTGCGGGCACGGAAGGTGTCCGTGCACAATTGGGAACCAGGTGACAGGGCCTGGCTGCATTGCCCTCAGGCACCTTTGGCTACGTCACCTAAATTGTTGAAGCCGTGGCGGGGACCCGTGGAGGTCGTGCGGGTTGCACGCCCCCAGTGCGTTCAGATAAAATGGGGAAAACGCCGTTGGTACGTCCACCCCTCCCGACTGAAACCGTTCTCGCCTCCATATGGCCTCCCCTTGTGTCGTGAGGGCCGAGCATGTGACGTGACCGACGACCCTAAGGGGGAAAGGTCTTTGCTTGATCCTCACATGTCTCCGCCTGATCCGCTCCCAGGTGTCTCGGAACTGACAGCTGCCGACCACCGGCGGCCGGATCTTCGCGGCGGGGCCGGTCCTTCCAGGCCCGATCCGTGCCGTCTAGAGCTGCCGGAGACACCGGACGGTCGCCAACGTCCCATTCCATACGACGGACCGGCCAGACGGACTCGCGCTAGGTCGCGCTACTTTGTGTAACCTACCACGTGCGGAGTCGAGGCAGCCGGAGCGCCTCGGCACTGCGTGGGTCACAGTGACACTTGGCGCGTTCGTTTTACGGTGTTCGCTTTTATTGTGTTGTTCGTCGGGCTGTATATTGCTTCATATTTAAGGTTGTGTTATGTTGTTGTTGTTGTGTTACGGGGCACACTGGGATGTGGAGTTCTTTATTACTGCGTTGCGTTATGTTGTGTTGTAGGTTAACAGCCGGGCCGGCTGCAAGCTATGTGGGAGGGGGTGATGTAGAGGTGATACGCGCTGGGATTAAGGATCGTATGCACAGTGCGTGATGATTGGCTGTGTAGGTGGTGACGCGCGCTGACGGTGGAGGATCAGGGGTCAGCGCGGGGTCGTGGGTTACGGGGTACTGATTGGCTGTGGGCGGTGACGCGCTGAGAGGGAGTGATCAGGTGGCAGCGCAGTGTGATTGGTGGAGTAATGTTAACACGCGCTGGGGAAAGCGGATCGTAGAGAGAGTGCGTCGTGATTGGGTCATTAAGGAACGACGCTCACGTCGACGCCGCATCAGCTCCGTCCCTCGTGAGCAGGGGCTATAAAAGGGGGATGCACACAGGCGTAAGGGCAGTGTGTAACCAGCGAAGAAGGAAGACGGGGATGAAGACCTAGAGCCCTGCGGTACCTAGCCCCGCTGTCCTAAGGGGACCGGGACTCTGTGTAACCCAGAGGCGAGTGTAGTGGGTGTAGCCATAGGTCTACACGAGCCGAATGTACTATGTGTAGCCAGGGCATAGGGCTTACACGAGTCGAGTGTATTGTGTAGCCAGAGGCATAGGGCTTACACGAGTCGAGTGTATTGTGTAGCCAGAGGCATAGGGCTTACACGAGTCGAGTGTATTGTGTAGCCAGAGGCATAGGGTCTACACGAGTCAAGTGTATCGGGTGTAGCCAGAGGCCTAGAGCTTACACGAGATTAGTGGAGTGTGTCGGAGGAAGAAGAGAGACCACACGTTGTATTGTGATACCTAAAGGATTTAATAAAAGTGTGTTACCCGTCAAGAAGTTCCTGCCGTCAATTCCCATACTTCACTAGTATACTACACTATACGTCATGGTACTCTAATTGTAAATGTTGTAGTGGGTTTAACTCTCCAACACACAACCGGTTAGTGCTGTACTAGTAACGAATTGTCAATGTTGTGTGGGTACTCTCCAACACACAACCGGTTAGTGCTGTACTAGTCACGAATTGTAAATGTTGTGTGTGTACTCTCCAACACACAACCGGTTAGTGCTGTACTAGTCACGAATTGTAAATGTTGTGTGTGTACTCTCCAACACACAACCGGTTAGTGCTGTACTAGTCACGAATTGTCAATGTTGTAGTGGGTTTAACTCTCCAACACACAGCAACCAGTTAGTGCTGAACTAGTAACGAATTGTCAATGTTGTAGTGGGTTTACTCTCCAACACACAACCAGTTAGTGCTGAACTAGTAACGAATTGTCAATGTTGTAGTGGGTTTAACTCTCCAACACACAACCGGTTAGTGCTGTACTAGTAACGAATTGTCAATGTTGTAGTGGGTTTAATCTCAAACAGACAACCTGGTGTGTGCTGTACTAGTAACGAATTGTCAATGTTGTAGTGGGTTTAATCTCAAACACACAACCGATTAGTGCTGTATTAGTAACGAATTGTCAATGTTGTAGTGGGTTTACTCTCCAACACACAACCGGTTAGTGCTGTACTAGTAACGAATTGTCAATGTTGTAGTGGGTTTAACTCTCCAACATACAACCGGTTAGTGCTGTACTAGTAACGAATTGTCAATGTTGTAGTGGGTTTACTCTCCAACACACAACCTGGTGTGTGCTGTACTAGCAACGAATTGTCAATGTTGTAGTGGGTTTACTCTCCAACACACAACCGGTTAGTGCTGTACTAGTAACGAATTGTCAATGTTGTAGTGGGTTTAATCTCAAACAGACAACCTGGTGTGTGCTGTACTAGTAACGAATTGTCAATGTTGTAGTGGGTTTAATCTCAAACACACAACCTGGTGTGTGCTGTACTAGTAACGAATTGTCAATGTTGTAGTGGGTTTACTCTCCAACACATAACCGGTTAGTGCTGTACTAGTAACGAATTGTCAATGTTGTAGTGGGTTTAATCTCAAACAGACAACCTGGTGTGTGCTGTACTAGTAACAAATTGGCCAAATTTTGTTCACGTGACAAACCTTACTAATTGGCTGTGTCAGTTGGTGGTGGTGGCGGGTTTAACGACACATTTATACTTTCACGATCTAACCCAAAAAATACCTTTATTATGGATAATATTCTTAGGTTTTTTCGGTAAAGTCACGTAGGTAAAAAAAAGTATTTAATAAAGGTAAAATAAAAAATTTAATTCCGTCTTGAAGACGGAAGCTTGTGTTGCCTCCGAAACGTCGTGATTTTTATTTTATTTTTTTATTTATTTTTTATTTTACTTTTATTAATAACATTTTTTTACCTACGTGACTTTACCGAAAAAAACCTAAGAATATGAATCCTTGCAGTCACGAAAGCTTCCAACAAGTTATGGCGCACTACTACATGTGAAACCACTGCGTACATTGTTGTTGTTATCCACCGGACTGTGGCCAACGTTGTTTTCCCCTCCCGCAGCGGTGCGTCAGGCGGAGGCAGGCTGTGATGCTGCCATCGGGCCTCAGGGTGTGCCCTCATCAGTCGCTCCAGGAGCTCAGGATGACCCACCTCGCCCACTACAAGCTGCGCAGTTGAGTGGCGAGCCACTATTTCCTGTGGCGCATCTTCTTGGTTCTTTCGGTAAAGTCACGTAGAATGGAAATAATAAATTAATAAAAATAAAACATAATAAAATCTTTTATTTGTATTATTTTAATAATAATAAAACATCATAAAATTTCGATTTAAAGCTTTCGTGACTGCAGGGATTCATCTTCTTGGTTCGTTCGGTAAAGTCACGTAGAATGGAAATAATAAAATAATAAAAATAAAACATAATAAAATCTTTTATTTGTATTATTTTAATAATAATAAAACATCATAAAATTTCGATTTAAAGCTTTCGTGACTGCAGGGATTCATCTTCTTTGTTCTTTCGGTAAAGTCACGTAGAATGGAAATAATCAAATAATAAAAATAAAACATAATAAAATCTTTTATTTGTATTATTTTAATAATAATAAAACATCATAAAATTTCGATTTAAAGCTTTCGTGACTGCAGGGATTCATCTTCTTGGTTCTTTCGGTAAAGTCACGTAGAATGGAAATAATCAAATAATAAAAATAAAACATAATAAAATATTTTATTTGTATTATTTTAATAATAATAAAACATAAAATTTCGATTTAAAGCTTTCGTGACTGCAGGGATTCATCTTCTTGGTTCTTTCGGTAAAGTCACGTAGAATGGAAATAATAAAATAATAAAAATAAAACATCATAAAATAATTCTCACGAAGTTTCGGCCACAACGCAAGCAGCCGTCCTCAGGTGGAGAGCAGGTCTGTCGAGGAGACAGCGTCTGCTTGCGTTGTGGCCGAAACGTCGTGAGAATTATTTTATTATGTTACATTTTTATTATTTTATTATTTCCATTCTACGTGACTTTACCGAAAGAACCAAGAAGATGAATCTCTGCAGTCACGAAAGCTTTAAATCGAAATTTCCTGTGGCTCGTTTTTCAGTTTTTAGTTTTAGCCGCCTCTCGACGAGTCTGCATGCCCCGGCGACGCCCCACGCCCTCGCAGCAAGGAGAGGGCCCCCGAGTTTGATTCCCGACACAGATGTGCGTGTACAGTCTGCTCTACGATAACTCTGCGTGTTGCTTTCACGACGCGAATCGGATATAACTTAGGAGGACTCTCCTGAGTCTCGAGACCCATCAACGCTCCCCTGGGTAAACGAGTCTCGTAGTAATAATAATACAAATATAATTAGACGGCATGTGGCCGCATCTGCCAGCAGGAAAGCTTTGCTTCTGGCTTCAACACAAATTTAATTCCACACTTTTATTGCCTTCGATCATCAGGCAAGCTCAACCTCCACAGGCCCCATCACTTCCTCTTTAGGCCCCGCACCTTCCTATGTAGGCCCCGCCTATCTGTGTTTAGGCCCCACCCCTCCCCGGGACACACGCGGGGGTTGGGCTGGTATGGGTAGTGGTGGGGGTTGTCGAAGGGGGAGCGGAGTGTGAGCAGCAGTGGGGGTAGTGGTGGTTGAGGTCTGTAGAGGTAGTGGTGGGTGGGGTCAATAGTGGTAGGGGTGGGTGGGGTCAGTAGCGGTAGGGGTGGGTGGGGTCAGTAAGCTTAGTGGTGGGTAAGGTCAGTAAGGGTAGTAGTGGGTGGGCTCCCTCCATGTCTCTCTCTTTCTCATCATCATCACGATGGCTAGGAGATATGAACTACCTTGCCTGGTATACAGGAGGTCGTGGGTTCGATCCCAACCCTGCCTCGCCCTGTGTATTTGGAGTTTGCGTCTCTCTCTCTGCCTCACCGTGGTAGCGTGGGTTTTTCTCCGCATCCTCCGGTCTTCCTCTCCACATTTAGAATCAACATCACGCGTTCAGAGCATTTGGCTGCTGCCATACATTTCCCACGCGAAAACGACGACGACGATTAGCCGACTTCGTTGAGCCTTCGTTTGTGAGAGCCAGGTTCGCTTCCGATTAAAGAGATCCACAGCCCAGTTGAGCCCTTTCACTTGGTGACGTAAAACATTGTTTATACTAGTAATAGGTTTTTACCCTTTAAACTGGTACAAAACTGACACCTTTATACAAGGCATCATGTTTGCAATAACCACAACACAAGCAGTCAAAATGCAAACAAAAAGAAACAACTCTGATTATGGTAATGATATGCACTGTCCTTGAAGTTGATTGGTCCACACCCGAGACAGCTTTTCTTAGAGCCTAGTCTCCATTGTGTGTGTGCGTGTGTGTGTTCTTAGAGCCTAGTCTCCAGATGACGCCAAAAGGCGTACAACTCAAAAACAGCGCACTATCAGAGTATTGAGAGCTCGGGGTAAGCATTTACACTATGAGACCTCCTTTACCAGTGGCAACAATATAGTAGTAGGTTTAAAGGGTAAAAGCCTACTACTAAATTTTGCCACTGGTAAAGGAGGTCTCATAGTGTAATTGTTTATACTCTTTGGTTCTTTCGGTGAAGTCACGTAGGTAGAAAAATAACAGATCACGACGTTTCGATCGCAACACAAGCAATCGTCATCAGGTGGGACAACCGCGGCAAGACAAAACTGCTGAAGTTGTTGTTGCGCTATCGAAACGTCGTGGTCTATTATTTTTCTACCCACGTGACTTTACCGAAAGAACCAAAGAATATGGATTCTTGCAGTCACGAAAGCTTCAAATCAAAAACATTGTTTACAGTTTCTACGTTTCCAGTGTTGTCTTTAATCCCAACTTGGCCACCCCCGCCACGGAAGGCCTTCCGGCACTGTCGCGTGGGAGGAATTACGCGCCGTGAACCGAGACGCGTGTCCGAACGGATTGGCGTTGGTGCCACTTTGACGAGTCTTCTCGCCTCGCCGAAGTCGAATTTCGATTTGAGAAGCCAGTTGTGGCGGCTGATCCCTGACTGCCTCGCCCCAGCGTGCCAGGACGCGGTGTGGGAGGCGTTCCGAGTGTTCTGGGACCGCGTGCCGGAGCGTGCCGAGTACCGCTCCTGGCTGGCGGAGTGCCTGCATGGTCGCACCAGCGCCGCGGGGATCGGCGCCGCCTTCAGCGCCTCCGTCGAGCACGCGCAGCTCCTCGACAAGGTGGGGCGGTCACGCACTCGCACGTACGTACACACTCACGCACTCACTCACGCACTCGCACGTACGCACTCACTCACGCACTCACTCACGCACTCATCTACACACTCACGCACTCACACGTACGTACACACTCACGCACTCACTCGCTCACGTGCTCGCTCACTCACGCACTCACTCACGCACTTGCACGTACGTACACACTCATGCACTCACTCACGCGCTCACGCGCTCACGCACTCACTCACGCACTCATGTACGCACTCACTCACGCACTCACTCACGCACTCACGCACTCACTCACTCACACACTCACTGACTCACGCGCTCACGCACTCACTCACGCACTCATGTACGCACTCAGTCATGCACTCACTCACGCACTCACGCACTCACGCGCTCACGTACACACTCACTCACACGCTCACTCACTCACTCACGCACTCACTCACGTACTCACTCACGCACTCACTCAAACACTCACGTACACACTCACTCATGCGCTCACTCACGCGCTCACTCACGCACTCACTCACGCACTCACTCACGCACTCACTCACGCACGCACTCACGCGTTCACTCACGAGCTCACTCACGCGCTCACGCATGTGCTCACGAACTCACACATTCACTCGCGCACGCACGTGCACTCATTCACGCACGCACACACGCACGTGTGTGTCCCATAGATTCACACAGAGATCCATAAGCTCAAATAGAGACTCACAGAGGCCCAAATAATCACGTAAAAACCGAGACTCACAGAGACCCTTGAACTCACACAGATATGCATAGACTCGCATAGACATCTTTTGACGTGCAGATACCCATAGACTTACATAGAGACCCATAACCGGGTTCTCAATGCTCGCGCGGTGAAGGTCAAAGCCCAGTCACCAATGACTGCAACAACAGCAAAAAAACGTGACATTTAAATTAGATTTTTCACTTAATTCCTTAGAGGTAACTCTGTGATATTCGCTTCCACGGACAGTTCGTGTGTTAGCCAGAGTGTCACTTGAACAAAGGATCTCAGAGGTAACTCTTTGATATCCGCTTCCACGGACCGTTCCGTGTGTTAGCCAGAGTGTCACTTGAACAACTTAGAGGTGGCTCTGTGAGATCCGCTTCCTCGGACCGTCCCGTGTGTTAGCCAGTGTTACTTGAACAACTCAGAGGTGGCTCTGTGGTATCCGCTTCCACGGACCGTCCCGTGTGTTACCCAGAGTGTCACTTGAACATCTCAGAGGTGGATTTGTGATATCCGCTTCCACGGACCGTTCCGTGTGTTGGCCAGAGTGTCACTTGAACATCTCAGAAGTAACTCTGTGATATCCGCTTCCACGAGCCGTTCCTTGTGTTAGCCAGAGTGTCATTTGAACATCTCAGAGGTGGCTCTGTGATATCCGCTTCCACGAGCCGTTCCGTGTGTTAGCCAGAGTGTCACTTGAACCTCTCAGAGGTGGCTCTGTGATATCCGCTTCCACGGGCCGTTCCGTGTGTTAGCCAGAGTGTCACTTGAACAACTCAGAAGTAACTCTGTGATATCCGCTTCCACGGGCCGTTCCGTGTGTTAGCCAGAGTGTCACTTGAACATCTCAGAAGTAACTCTGTGATATCCGCTTCCACGAGCCGTTCCTTGTGTTAGCCAGAGTGTCACTTGAACAACTCAGAGGTGGCTTTGTGATATCCGCTTCCACGGATCGTTCCGTGTGTTAGCCAGAGTGTCACTTGAACACCTCAGAGGTGGCTCTGTGAGATTCGCTTCCACGGATCGTTCCGTGTGTTAGCCAGAGTGTCACTTGAACATCTCAGAAGTAACTCTGTGATATCCGCTTCCACGAGCCGTTCCTTGTGTTAGCCAGAGTGTCACTTGAACATCTCAGAAGTAACTCTGTGAGATTCGCTTCCACGGATCGTTCCGTGTGTTAGCCAGAGTGTCACTTGAACATCTCAGAAGTGGCTCTGTGAGATCCGCTTCCACGGATCTTTCCTTGTGTTAGCCAGAGTGTCACTTGAACAACTCAGAGGTGGCTCTGTGAGATCCGCTTCCACGGATCGTTCCGTGTGTTAGCCAGAGTGTCACTTGAACATCTCAGAGGTGGCTCTGTGAGATCCGCTTCCACGACCGTCCCGTGTGTTAGCCAGAGTGTCACTTGAACAAGGATCTCAGACGTGTTTCTGTGATATCCGCTTCCACGGGCCATTTCGTGTGTTAGCCAGAGCGGATTCTTCGTCTCAGCGACGACGATGATGACACGGGGGAGAAGCGAGATTGCGATCGTCGCGGACGCATTTCGGGGGTAGAAATGATAAGGCACCAAACACTCTAATGACGCCGACGGAAACGCCGGGGGGTTCACGGCCAGCGTTTGGCACCAATTCTCCCCGGCCGCGCATCGCCCTCGCTTGTTTAGTTTGAGCTCCGCGAGCCGGTTAATGTTCCCATTCGCCCTGAATTATGCAGCAAATTTGTTAAGCACGCCACCGCTACCACCTCCAGCACTGCCACCGCCAGCACCGCCACCTCCACCACCACCGCCTTCACAACCTTTACCACCACCTCCACCACCGCCAACGCCTTCACCACCGCCACCACCTCTACCACCACCACCTCTATCACCACCACCACCGCCGCCACCACCTCTACCACCACCACCGCCACCACCTCTACCACCTCTAACACCACCTCTGCCACCACCACCGCCACCACCGCCACCATCCCAATAAGCACCACCTCTACCACCACCTCTACCATCACCACCACCGCCACCACCTCTACCACCACCTCTACCATCACTACCGCCACCACCTATACCACCACCGCCACCACCACCTCTACCATCACCACCGCCGCCACCACCTCTACCACCACCTCTACCATCACTACCGCCACCACCTCTACCACCACCACCGCCACCACCTCTACCACCACCACTGCCACCACCTCTCCCATCACCGCCACCACCACCGCCACCACCTCTACCACCCCAATCACCACCGCAGCAACAATAAATCCACCGGCGATGTTGTTTGTATTTTTTTCTCCGTTCCTTTGTTTGCCAATAACAGCGCGGCCGCTCTTGGTGACATTTCGCGACAATTTCGGCTGCGCACACAAAGACAAAGGTCCCCCCCCCTGTAGCCTCTAACAAACTGCTGGGGCAAGTGCTGTTAGCGAGCGGCACCTATGAAGACCGGCAGCGGCACACGAGCGGATGGGTGGCCAGCACGACGCCCGGCCTTTGTCTCTCAGTTGCCGATGTTTAACACGCAACGCACCAGGTACTCGTTTTAGGCTGAATCTACCTACAGGAGGCACGGGACCGGTTCACGTAATCGTCACTGGGTGTTGGTGGCTATAAGTGGGAATCGAACTCGGGTCACCAGGTTTGTAGCGCAGCGCGCTAACAGCTACACTACCGCTCCCCACACACACGCGCACACGCACACACGCGCACGCACACACGCACACATACACACGCACGCACACACACGCACGCACACACACGCACACACACGCATACACACACACACATACAAACACGCACACACGCGCACACACACACGCTCGCTGCCCCTAACCTTTCCCGCGTGCATCCGTCTCATTGGCGGACGACAGTAATCGTCCGAGCCGGGGGGCCCCCGGAGGCCGCTTTAACGAGAGGCGCAATTACCGCGCAGCTCCCACTCGACGCTGGTTCAGGCGCGACGGCGAACGACGTCCGTCAATTTCCGTTCACGGCCCCCCCCCCCCTCGCCCCCCTTGATGCAACGGGAGGAGAAGTTTTGACTTGCGTCTCTCCGAGGCCCGTCGTCGCAGAGAGGGACAACTTTTGGATACGCGCGTGGGTCCATGCGCGCACGCGGGCAGTGCGCTAGCCTCGCCGTTGATGATCGGAGGATGGGTGAGAGTGTGGGTGAGTGACTGCGCTCAGGGAGGGTGGCGTTTGTGCGCAGACTTCCCTATATGACATCTTAACAACAGTCTGGACCACTAGACGGCTTCCGCAGGATTGGAAGGATGCCCTGGTGGTCCCCTCTCTTTAAGAAGGGGGACCGCACAGACTGTAACAACTACAGGGGCATCTCACTCCTCAGTGTGCCGGGAAAGGTCCTGGCAAGGATTATTCAACATCGCCTTGCTAAGCACGCTGAGGAGAGGCTTGCGGAGCCCCAATGCGGTTTCAGGAAAGGGCGGTCCTGCACAGATGCCTCCGTTGCTACAGCAGAGGTGTAGGGAATTCCAACAAGACCTACATCTCTGCTTATTTGACCTGGTCAAGGCCTATGATACCATCAGTAGGCCTGGGCTCTGGGTTGTTCTTCGTGCTTTCGGAGTCCCCGACCCTCTGCTCACGATCATTATGGACCTTTATGATGGTGAGTGGTCCCGGGTTAAACTACGTGGCCGGGAGTCAGAGCCTTTCGCTATACACCTTGGGGTGCGACAGGGATGTCCTCTGGCTCCCACATTTAACATCTATTTTGACCGCGTAGTTCGTGAAGCCTTCAATAGCTGTACCGGGGGAATTTTCATCTGGTACAGATATAATGGGAGGCTGATCAACGCCCGGGTGCGATCAAGGGATGGCTCCCTATTGGTCAACCACGTTATGTATGCTGATGATTTGGTAATAGCTGCTCATTCAGAAGAGGAGTTGGAGACGCTGATGCTGAGACTGGAGCGTGCCACTAAGAGGTGGGGCCTTACCATCAGCCCCACCAAAACTAAGCACCTGCCTGGGTATTTTGTACCATCGGACACTCCACCCCCACAACTCCCAATCGGCGATGGTGCAGTAGTGGAGAGAGTGGAGAGTTTCCCATACTTGGGCAGTGTGCTTATGACCGGCTCCAGTTTAACAGCAGAGGTCTCACTCCGAATCAGTCGAGCGGCAATATCTTTTCATCGGTTGCGTAACGCTGTGTGGAAGCTACCTGGTCTGTCGCTCCGCACGAAGCTTCAGGTCTTCTCGGCCACTATCATTCCCTCCCTTCTC